ATCACATACACAACATAGTATTTGCTACATGCTAGAGTGTGTCGTATCTATGGTCTGTGTCTCTGGTCTGTATCTATGGTCTGTATCTATGGTCTGTATCTATGGTCTGTATCTATGGTCTGTATCTATGGTCTGATATTATGGTCTGTGTCTCAGGTCTGATATTATGGTCTGTATCTCTGGTCTGTATCTCAGGTCTGATATTATGGTCTGTGTCTCAGGTCTGATATTATGGTCTGTGTCTCAGGTCTGATATTATGGTCTGTGTCTCTGGTCTGATATTATGGTCTGTGTCTCAGGTCTGATATTATGGTCTGTGTCTCAGGTCTGATATTATGGTCTGTGTCTCTGGTCTGATATTATGGTCTGTGTCTCAGGTCTGATATTATGGTCTGTGTCTCAGGTCTGATATTATGGTCTGTGTCTCAGGTCTGATATTATGGTCTGTATCTCTGGTCTGTATCTCAGGTCTGATATTATGGTCTGTGTGTCTCCAGGTGAACGGGGTGGATCTCAGAAATGCGACCCATGAGCAAGCAGCCGCCGCCCTGAAGAACGCCGGGCAGACGGTGACCATCATCGCCACCTACAGGCCGGAGGGTGAGAGACAACATGTTCATATTTAACAATTATTATTCTGGGGTTAAACCGGTCTGCAGGAATCAAGATGTACTCTTCCTCCTCCTCCTCCTCCTCCTCATCCTCCTCCTCAGAGTATAGCAGGTTTGAGGCTAAGATCCACGACCTGAGGGAGCAGATGATGAACAGCAGCATCAGTTCAGGGTCTGGATCTCTGAGGACCAATCAGAAGAGGTCGCTGTACGTCAGGTGAGGCTCCCCCCCCCCTGTGTGTCTGTGTTCATATCTGGTGTTTGAGTGATGAACCCTAACGAGGGTCTCTCTCTTCAGAGCGCTGTTCGACTACGATAAGTCTCGGGACTCGGGGCTGCCCAGCCAGGGTCTGGACTTCCGGTTCGGAGAGATTCTGCACGTTCTGAACGCCTCGGACGACGAGTGGTGGCAAGCGAGACACCTGAGGGGGGCGGCGGAGGAGACAGGGGTGATACCCAGCAAGAGGAGGTACACACACACACACACACACACACTCACTCACTCACACTCACACTCACACACTCACACTCACACTCACACACAGAGACACACTCACACACACACACAGAGACACACTCACACACACACACAGAGACACACTCACACACACACACACACACACACTCACTCACTCACACTCACACTCACACACTCACACTCACACACACACACAGAGACACACTCACACACACACACACACTCACTCACACACACACACACACACAGAGACACACTCACACACACAGAGACACACACAGAGACACACACAGAGACACACACACACCCCCCCCACACACACACACAGAGACACACACAGACACACAGACAGACACGCACAGATACAGAGATACACACACACACAGAGGAAGATATACACACACACACACACATAGAGGAAGAGATACACACACACATTCGCACACAAATGTAAATCCTCCAAATGTACGAATCTTGGAGAATATTGATGTCTTGAAAACGTCCCGCTGTCCTCCCGAGCTGTCCTCCCGAGCTGTCCTCCCGAGCTGTCCTCCCGAGCTGTCCTCCCGAGCTGTCCTCCCGAGCTGTCCTCCCGAGCTGTCCTCCCGAGCTGTCCTCCCGAGCTGTCCTCCCGAGCTGTCCTCCCGAGCTGTCCTCCCGAGCTGTCCTCCCGAGCTGTCCTCTCGAGCTGTCCTCCCGAGCTGTCCTCCCGAGCTGCCGCGCATTAACCTTCTAAGTTTCTCTTTCAAACTAAACCCTGACTTCCTGTCCGTCCTCAGGGTGGAGAAGAAGGAGCGAGCGAGATTAAAGACGGTGAAGTTCAACGCTAAGTCTCGAGAGCGAGGGGTGAGTTTTCCTCTGACCCTCACCCAATTATTTACACTCCCATGATACCTTGAAGAGAAGACGCCACTTCCTGTTATTCCACAATTTGGGATTAATAAAGTATCTCTGCTCTCTGTGGTGTTCCCTCTCCGTAGTGAGTCCTGTAGGTGTTAGTGCATGTAAATGGTCTGCAGAGGCTAAAATCCCTGGGTGTTTCTCAATGTCGAGGACGCTTCCTTGGTAGGACATGTCCTTCCGAGTCAGCTCCTTCAGAGGCTAGGCAAGAATCCTTCCTGGCATTCGGAGAACGAAGAATGGAACAAGCTAGCAAGTGTGCAGGTGTGCGTCATATGAGAGGCCCCGCCTTACATTTTCCGCCAAAGATTTTGGATCCGTGCGCAAAGCATTGTGGGGATTTTAAGACCGCGGAGGATACACTGGTGCAGCCTTGAAATTTCCCGCAACGAAGGATTCAGTCCTCGGTAGAATTCCAAGGATCCTGGACATTCGGCGGGACTCGATGACGTAGCATCCTTGAAATAGTGGCTCTGAAGGATCCTTCCTTGACATTGAGAAACACCCCTTGTGCTTCTGAGTATTTTACAATAAAACCCACTTTCAAAATAAAAGCCTGTCTGAATTTGAGGGATTATGCCACAGCTGGAAGGCTTTTATTTTGAAACACCTTGGAAGTCTGAAAATCTGAAAATGTAAAGAAATCATAAATAAATAAATCAGTATTTTCACAATAAAACTCACTTCTTCCCGTAGAAGTTTCAAAATAAAACCCTGTCCGAATTTGAGGGATAATGCCACTGCTGGAAGGCTTTTATTTTGAAACGTCTTTGCAGGAAATGTTAAAGTTACATCATCGTAGTTAGAAGAAGAGTATTTTCACAATAAAACTCACTTCCTCCTGTAGATGTTTCAAAATAAAATCCTGTCTGAATCATTCGGAGTCACAAGGTATCATGGGAAATGTGTGTTTCTTCTTCTGTGGTGTCTGATGTAGTTTGTTGTGCATGGTTGTAGTTTTTCAGACTAATGCAGCATGTTGATGTCGGCCATCTTTAAAGGTCCTCCTCTGCAGCGCCTCCCCAGCACCTCTATAAAACAACAACAACAACAACAATAAACAAACACGTGTGGCTTTAACACGCGACGCCTGAACGCCTCGCCCCCCCCCCCTCGCTAACACACTGAGGGGGCGGGGCATGCATGACCCCCCCCCCCGACTCTAAGGAGAGAAACGCTTGACATTGACGTCTGACTGTCTGCTGCTCACCTTCATCCTCCTCCTCTTCCTCACCTTCATCCTCCTCCTCTTCCTCACCTTCATCCTCCTCCTCTTCCTCACCTTCATCCTCCTCCTCTTCCTCCCCCCTGCTGTGTAACATTGCAGTGCAGCATGTGATCTAATGATGTTTTCTACTTCCCTGCTGGAAGGCTTTTATTGTGAAAGATCTGTGCAGGAAATGTTACATTTAGAAGAGTATTTTCAAAATAAAACCCACTTCGTCATGCGGGTGTTTCAAAACAAAAGCCCTCCCTGTAATATGAGCTATAGCCCACTGCTCCAAGGCTTTTATTTTGAAGGATCTGTGCAGGAAATGTTACATGTAGATCCTAATTAGGAAGTAAGAAATAATCAGTGAATAAAAGAGTATTTTCAAAATAAAACCCACTTCCTCCTGCGGGTGTTTCCAAACAAAAGCCCGCTTTTATTGTGAAAAATCAGTGACTAAAAAACGTATTTTCACAATAAAACTTCCTGATTTTAATTTTGTTAATTTGTTTTCTGTGTCGCTATTTAAATTAGCCAGTTAGCGCCACACGATGAGCGTCTCATTCATCCAAACCCACATCCGACCCCCTCTTCTTCCTCTTCCTCCTCTTGTTGTTCCATCACCCCTCTTCCTCCTCCTCCTCCTCCTCCTCTTCCTCTTCCTCCTCAGCAGTCTCTCAATGACAAGCGTAGAAAGAACCTCTTTTCCCGAAAGTTCCCCTTCTACAAGAGCAAAGAGGCGAGCGAGGCGGAGACCAGCGACGTGGACCGTGAGTACCTCGGTGTGCGAGGGGGAGGGGCGTTTATCGTTTAGATCCAACCCAATTTAGATGTAGCCACGCCCACTTCTGCATTTACGAGGCTCTGTGTGACTGCGTCATGGACGTGTAAACCAAAACCACTCTGCCAAGCCATTGTGGGCATTAATGCTATGTAACGCAACTCGTGCTAACTACAACCAAGAGTAGACGTGACATGGACGTAGACCCAACGCTGAAGTGATATCACGTCGACTCCTGGTTGTTGTCTAGTTTCCAGTTTAGTGAACCCTGAAATGTTGAGACCCCAAAGTGTTATGATAGAAATGTAGAGTAGGGTCTGCAGCTCATAGAAACTGCCGGATGCTAACCTGCATGTTGGGACGTTTGCAGAATTAGCATAAGTTGCGTTAAATAGCATTAATGCAGAAAATGGCTTAGCCGATTAGGACAGTTTTGGAGTGTGTTGTGGGGTTATTGAGGATGCTGAATCAATTTCTGACATTTTCAGGATCAAAAATTGCAGTTTTGAGTCACCTTAAACTTTAAAATCGACCCAGAATCCATCAAAATCAGCCCTAGGAACTACAAATATGGCCGCTGTCTGGTTTAAAACTCCCATTTTTGATTCTGAAAATGTCAGAAATGGACTCAGCGAACTCAATAACCCCCAACGACACTCTCAAACTGTCCAGATCAGCCAAGCCATTATTGAACTGTAGTCTGCGTCTGCTAATTAACACAGGGGCAGTTTTAACCAGAAGGAGGCCATATTTGTAGTCTCTGTGGACTGATTCTGACTACAATGAGTAGTGTTGGGACCATCGGATATAGAGATCACAAGATGAACATTATTGTCTCTACTGTGGACAATTTGTTTTCATAATAATAACCAATCTGTGATGATCCGGAGTCCCCTAAATCTTCAAACATCGACCCCTAAATGAATCAATTTATTATATATGTATAAAAATGATACTCATTACTTCAGCGTTGTTGACATGGTTCTCGTTATACGTTCATGACGGCGTCACACAGAAGTGCGTAAGTGCAGAAGTGGGCGTGGTTACATCTAAACTGGGTTGGAAAAACGATAGACGTACGAGGGGGGCGTCGTCTGAGGGACAGGAAGTGAGTTCGTCTGAGGGACAGGAAGCGAGGTCGTCTGAGGGACAGGAAGTGAGGTCAGCTGGTGGCGGCGCTGCAGACGCAACAGGAGGCACGGCTGCTTCAGGGCCGGCTAAAAAAAGCTAAAAAAAGCAAAAAAAAGCAAAGAATGTTTTATTAGAAACATGTATTTCCCCCCTGGAACTTTTTGGTTTGATCCCCCCTCCCTCCTCCTCTTTGGAGCCAAAATGGCCGCCCCGCAGCCCTGTTTCCTGTCGGCCCCCCCCCCCTTCTGTCTCTCTCAGTAACATGTTGTTGTTTTCTCCTCACATCGCTGACCTCAGGACAACAGCGACGACATGATATCCAAAGCCCACAGTAAGTCTGTCTCCAACACATTGTACGTGATAGGCTAAGGGGCGGGACATCTGTAAGCAGGTTGACCAATCACCAAACAAAGCCGGCCAGCTAACCAATCAGAGCAGACTGGGCTCTGGTTTCAGACAGAGGGTGAAAAGAGGAGCTGCAGCACAGGCAGTATGAGAAAAATAAAGAGCTTTTTGAACATTAAAGCATGGAGACATGTAGAGACACTACATACTGATATACACCTGAAACATCAGCAGGAGAGGACGCTTTAAAGTAGAGACACTACATACTGATATACACCTGAACATCAGCAGGAGAGGACTCTTTAAAGTAGAGAACTACATACTGATATACACCTGAACATCAGCAGGAGAGGACTCTTTAAAGTAGAGACACTACATACTGATATACACCTGAACATCAGCAGGAGAGGACTCTTTAAAGTAGAGACACTACATACTGATATACACCTGAACATCAGCAGGAGAGGACTCTTTAAAGTAGAGACACTACATACTGATATACACCTGAACATCAGCAGGAGAGGACTTTAAGTAGAGACACTACATACTGATATACACCTGAACATCAGCAGGAGAGGACGCTTAGAGACACTACATACTGATATACACCTGAACATCAGCAGGAGATGACTCTTTAAAGTAGAGACACTACATACTGATATACACCTGAACATCAGCAGGAGAGGACTCTTTAAAGTAGAGACACTACATACTGATATACACCTGAACATCAGCAGGAGAGGACTCTTTAAAGTAGAGACACTACATACTGATATACACCTGAACATCAGCTGGAGAGGACTCTTTAAAGTAGAGACACTACATACTGATATACAACCTGAACATCAGCTGGAGAGGACTCTTTAAAGTAGAGACACTACATACTGATATACACCTGAACATCAGCTGGAGAGGACTCTTTAAAGTAGAGACACTACATACTGATATACACCTGAACATCAGCAGGAGAGGACTCTTTAAAGTAGAGACACTTTACTCCTATACACCTGAACATCAGCAGGAGAGGACTCTTTAAAGTAGAGACACTACATACTGATATACACCTGAACATCAGCAGGAGAGGACTCTTTAAAGTAGAGACACTACATACTGATATACACCTGAACATCAGCAGGAGAGGACTCTTTAAAGTAGAGACACTACATACTGATATACACCTGAACATCAGCTGGAGAGGACTCTTTAAAGTAGAGACACTACATACTGATATACACCTGAACATCAGCTGGAGAGGACTCTTTAAAGTAGAGACACTACATACTGATATACAACCTGAACATCAGCTGGAGAGGACTCTTTAAAGTAGAGACACTACATACTGATATACACCTGAACATCAGCAGGAGAGGACTCTTTAAAGTAGAGACACTACACACTGATATACACCTGAACATCAGCAGGAGAGTGGAACCTCTCTCCCCTGCTCTGTATCTTAATGTATTATAATAATGTCTATCTACAATGGCCTTTATTTTCCTGGACCCAGGGAGGATGTGAGTTTAGTAAATGTTTCTTATTTAAGATTTATCCTGTGATTATTCTGCCGCTGCTGTCGGACTCAAACGCCTCGATCCGTCTGTTGTTGTGTTTTGTGTCTCGGAGTGCAAAGCATGATGGGAAAACAATGCTCTGACCCGCGTCCTGTGTTTTTTGTTTGTTTGCAGAACACGTGACGTCTAACGCCAGCGACAGTGAGAGTAGCTACCGTAAGTCTCACACTCCTGCTAACTGACCTCTAACTGACCTCTAACTGACCTCTAACTGCTAACTGACCTCTAACCGCTAACTGACCTCTAACCGCTAACTGCTCTCTAAATGCTAACTGACCTTTTACTGCTAACTGCTAACTGACCTTTTACTGCTAACTGCTAACTGACCTTTTACTGCTAACTGACCTTTTACTGCTAACTGACCTCTAACCGCTAACTGCTAACTGACCTTTAACTGCTAACTGACCGCTAACTGCTAACTGACAACTAACTGACCTCTAACCGCTAACTGCTAACTGACCTTTAACTGCTAACTGACCGCTAACTGCTAACTGACAACCAACTGACCTCTAACCGCTAACTGCTCTCTAAATGCTAACTGACCTTTTACTGCTAACTGACCTTTTACTGCTAACTGACCTTTAACTGCTAACTGACCTTTAACTGCTAACTGACCGCTAACTGCTAACTGACCGCTAACTGCTAACTGACCGCTAACTGCTAACTGACCTCTAACCGCTAACTGCTAACTGACCTCTAACTGCTAACTGACCTTTTACTGCGAACTGACCGCTAACTGCTAACTGAACTCTACCCGCTAACTGCTAACTGACCTTCAACTGCTAACTGACATTTTACTGCTAACTGCTAACTGACCACTAACTGCCAACTGCTCTCTAACTGCTAACTGACCTTTTACAGCGAACTTACCGCTAACTGCCGACTGCTCTCTAACTGCTAACTGACCTCTGACCGCTAACTGCTCTCTAACTGCTAACTGACCTCTGACTGCTAACTGCTCTCTAACTGCTAACTGACCTTTAACTGCTAACTGACCTCTAACTGCTAACTGACCTTTAACTGCTAACTGACCTCTGACTGCTAACTGACCTCTGACTGCTAACTGACCTTTAACTGCTAACTGACCTCTGACTGCTAACTGACCTTTAACTGCTAACTGACCTCTGACTGCTAACTGACCTCTGACTGCTAACTGACCTTTAACTGCTAACTGACCTCTAACCGCTAACTGCTCTCTGACTGCTAACTGACCTCTGACTGCTAACTGACCTCTGACTGCTAACTGACCTCTGACTGCTAACTGACCTCTGACTGCTAACTGACCTCTGACTGCTAACTGACCTCTGACTGCTAACTGACCTCTGACTGCTAACTGACCTCTAACCGCTAACTGCTCTCTGACTGCTAACTGACCTCTGACCGCTAACTGACCTCTGACTGCTAACTGACCTCTGACTGCTAACTGACCTCTGACTGCTAACTGACCTCTAACTGCTAACTGACCTTTAACTGCTAACTGACCGCTAACTGCTAACTGACCGCTAACTGCTAACTGACCGCTAACTGCTAACTGACCGCTAACTGCTAACTGACCTCTAACCGCTAACTGCTAACTGACCGCTAACTGCTAACTGACCTTTAACTGCTAACTGACCTCTGACTGCTAACTGACCTTTAACTGCTAACTGACCTCTGACTGCTAACTGACCTCTGACTGCTAACTGACCTCTAACCGCTAACTGCTCTCTGACTGCTAACTGACCTCTGACCGCTAACTGACCTCTGACTGCTAACTGACCTCTGACTGCTAACTGACCTCTGACTGCTAACTGACCTCTAACTGCTAACTGACCTTTAACTGCTAACTGACCGCTAACTGCTAACTGACAACTAACTGACCTCTAACCGCTAACTGCTAACTGACCTTTTACTGCTAACTGACCTTTAACTGCTAACTGACCTTTAACTGCTAACTGACCGCTAACTGCTAACTGACCGCTAACTGCTAACTGACCGCTAACTGCTAACTGACCTCTAACCGCTAACTGCTAACTGACCGCTAACTGCTAACTGACCTTTAACTGCTAACTGACCTCTAACTGCTAACTGACCTTTTACTGCGAACTGACCGCTAACTGCTAACTGAACTCTACCCGCTAACTGCTAACTGACCTTCAACTGCTAACTGACATTTTACTGCTAACTGCTAACTGACCACTAACTGCCAACTGCTCTCTAACTGCTAACTGCTCTCTAACTGCTAACTGACCTTTTACAGCGAACTTACCGCTAACTGCTGACTGCTCTCTAACTGCTAACTGACCTCTAACCGCTAACTGCTCTCTAACTGCTAACTGACCTCTGACTGCTAACTGACCTCTGACTGCTAACTGACCTTTAACTGCTAACTGACCTCTAACTGCTAACTGACCTCTAACCGCTAACTGCTCTCTAACTGCTAACTGACCTCTGACTGCTAACTGACCTTTAACTGCTAACTGACCTCTGACTGCTAACTGACCTCTGACTGCTAACTGACCTTTAACTGCTAACTGACCTCTAACCGCTCTCTGACTGCTAACTGACCTCTGACTGCTAACTGACCTCTGACTGCTAACTGACCTCTGACTGCTAACTGACCTCTGACTGCTAACTGACCTCTGACTGCTAACTGACCTCTGACTGCTAACTGACCTTTAACTGCTAACTGACCTCTAACCGCTAACTGCTCTCTGACTGCTAACTGACCTCTGACCGCTAACTGCTCTCTGACTGCTAACTGACCTCTGACTGCTAACTGCTCTCTGACTGCTAACTGACCTCTGACTGCTAACTGACCTCTGACTGCTAACTGACCTCTGACTGCTAACTGACCTCTGACTGCTAACTGACCTTTAACTGCTAACTGACCTTTAACTGCTAACTGACCTCTAACCGCTAACTGCTCTCTGACTGCTAACTGACATCTAACTGCTAACTGCTCTCTGACTGCTAACTGACCTCTGACTGCTAACTGCTCTCTAACTGCTAACTGACCTTTAACTGCTAACTGCTCTCTAACCGCTAACTGCTAACTGAACACTAGCTTCTAACTTACCTGTAACTGACCTGTAACTGCTAACTTACTGCTAACTAAACACTAACTGACTGCTAACTGCTAACCAACTGCTAACTGAACCCTAGCTGCTAACTGAACTCTAACTGCTAATTTACTGCTAACTGCTAACTGACTGCTAACTGCTAACTAACTGCTAACTGACCTCTAGCTGCTAACTGAACCCTAGCTGCTAACTGAACAGCTAACTGCTATGTGTGTGTGCAGGTGGACAGGAGGAATACGTGCTGTCGTATGAACCCGTGTCTCAGCAGGAAGGTGAGTAAAATATAAATATGTCTTTAAAGCCCTCTGTGATTTCAGGCTGTTTATATAAATGTTGATCTGATGGAGTGATCACTTCCTGTTTCAGTGAACTACACGCGTCCCATCATCATCCTCGGCCCGATGAAGGACCGCATCAACGACGACCTGATCTCAGAGTTCCCCGACAAGTTTGGATCCTGCGTGCCTCGTAAGGAACTGACCTAAAGCTGACATTACTCTGACTATAAACTGATATTAATCTGACCTAAAACTGACATTAATCTGACCTAAAACTGACATTACTCTGACCTGAAATTGATATTAATCTGACCTAAAATTGACATTAATCTGACCTAAAACTGACATTACTCTGACCTGAAACTGATATTAATCTGACCTAAAACTGACATTAATCTGACCTGAAACTGATATTAATCTGACCTAAAATTGACATTAATCTGACCTAAAATTGACATTAATCTGACATAAAACTGACATTAATCTGACCTAAAATTGACATTAATCTGACCTACAGGGTTCTTACGGTCATTAAAAACCTGGAAAAGGCATGGAAATTCAAAATGCAAATTCCAGGCCCTGGAAAAGTTATGGAAAACAATATTTTTCCCAAAGTTTTGGAAAAGTCATGGAAATGTAACTAAAATTGCATCAAATATAATTTATATTTTATCTAATTGCCGAAATAGTAATACTATAATGATAATAAATACTGTATGGCAGGGGTCGGCAACCCCTGGCACGCGTGCCAGCATTGGCATGCGGCACCGTAACCAGTGGCACACTAGGAATAAGTGGAATAAGTGTGCAAAATATTTAAATTGTATTTTCGGATCCTGAACGAGACCGCCGCCAGAGCGCGTCTCCCCGTTACCTGCAGAAGGAAGCCATGCACGCACCGCAGCCCCGCTCTCTTTAACTCCAGGTGACTTTCTGCCGCTTCCTCCGTGGTGCAGGGCTGATTGTTTCACCACAGAGGAAAGCACTTCACAAATTGCAGTACCCATAAGGAGCTTTACAAATGCCACAGTTTTTGCGTGGCTGTGTCTTTAGTTGAAAGCCCAGTGGCGATCTGCTCATCTCTCATTGAAATAATATGCTACAAAGGGGCGGACTGGCCATCTGTGTCTTTCCTGTCGGCTCCCAGACCGTAGTCGAGGAGGGCAGAAGCAACGAGCTTCAGGTTCAATAACCCACTTTAGCTGAAATGACTGGAGAGAGGCGAGCTCTTCTGGGGAGGCCGTTGCATTTATTTAGCTGTTCTTCTGTTTCACAAAATACATCACAGACCTCTGTTTTTCTGCTGCCTCGTTTCACTTCCAGAAACATACACACGCTCGCTCACTGTCGCTCTACCATCCACACACACACATGCACACGCCACACCCCTCTCTCTCTCTCTGAAAGGGGCAGCGATCTCATCTCACTCTGCATGACCCTAATATCATAACATGTGTGTTCTGGAGAATCACAGAACGGACGATCGTCCTTATTATTATGCCGTTTAAACCAGGTTCACACACTGCTTCCCCGCAGCGAGGCCCCCCCGCCCTCCTGTTGATAGTTCATGAGCGTCAAGCTCCTGAACCCCCCCCCCCCCCCCCCGTTGATAATTCTCGATCGTTGGCACGCTGATAACAATTTTTTTTTTTAATGGCACTTCATATCAAAAAGGTTGCCGACCCCTGCTGTATGGTATAGTAATGAAACGTAGAATGGCATTTAACTGACGAGGTATTTTGCTGGTGAGAGATTTCCGTTGCTTTAGATTAGAATGTAGAAGCTAGTAAGCCTATTTGATTTGTTTTAGATAGGCACAACATGTTTCATATGCAGACCTTATTTTCCTGTTCCATGTTAAAATAAACCATTTTCAGTGGTACCGCTGAGAAAGAGTTATGTTTTTGGTCATGGAAAATTAGGTAAAGGTCATGGAAAAGTGTATGAACCCTGGACCTAAAACTGTGTTAAAACTGACATTAAATTGACATTAATCTGACCTAAAACTGACATTAATCTGACTATAACGGGACGGATGAACACGCGTTCTACGTCGCGGATGAACACGCGTTCTACGTCACGGATGAACACGCGTTCTACGTCACGGATGAACACGCGTTCTACGTCACGGATGAACACGCGTTCTACGTCACGGATGAACGCGCGTTCTACGTCACGGATGAACGTGCGTTCTACGTCACGGATGAACAGGCGTTCTACGTCACTAATTTCCATCTGTGGTCAATCTGTTCTCTCTCCTCACAGATACGACGCGGCCGAAGCGAGACTACGAGGTGGACGGCAGGGATTATCACTTCGTGGTTTCCAGAGAGCAGATGGAGAAAGACATCCAGGACCATCGCTTCATCGAGGCCGGCCAGTACAACAACCACCTGTACGGGACCAGCGTGCAGTCGGTGCGCGAGGTGGCCGAGAAGGTACCCTGATATTAAACTGATATTAAGCTGACCTGTTATAAATCTGATCTAAATGTGATCTTAATCTGACTTTAATTGGACGTCTCCGTGCAGAGTCAAAGGTCGCTCTCATGATAACCCTCTCCTCTCTCCTCAGGGTAAACACTGTATCCTGGATGTTTCGGGGAACGCGATAAAGAGACTGCAGCTCGCTCAGCTTCATCCCATCGCCATCTTCATCAAACCCAAAACTGTGGAGAACATCCTGTGAGTGTCACTGAAACATATCGATATCTCTGCGTCTAATGACTGCAGTGAAAAGTACAGATGTGTCTCTGAGATGTAAAGAGTACAAGTATAAGGTAGCAGGAAATGTGAATACTCCAGTATTAGTACCTCTTGAGTCCAGTACATGTACTCAGTGTCAGCAGTACGTGAGTAAACGTACTCAGTATCTCATTGCTTGTGTTTGTCGTGCAGTGAGATGAACAAGCGTCTGACGGAGGATCAGGGCAAGAAGACATTGGACCGAGCCAACAAGCTGGAGCAGGAGTTCACGGAACATTTCACAGGTAAAACACCTGCACACTGTTTACAGTATATTAGCGTATTGAACCGAATATAAGACGGGTTCTATTTCCTAGAAAAAAATCGGAAAAAGAGGCGTTTTATATTCGGGGTCTAGACTTTTCGATGTAATTACACAGTCACAACAGCAGATGGCGCCAAACGAGTGTTCCCCCAGAGAGAGAGTCTTAAAGTGACAGTTCAACATGAGAGAGAGAGATGGAGAGACACAGAGACCAACTCCAACACAGTGGATCAAAAGTTAAAGGGGACCTATCATGCAAAATGCACTTTTGTACGTCTTGTATACATGAATATGTGTCCCCGGTGTTCCAGGGAACTCACCAAGTGTCAGAAAACACAACCCTCTCTATTTTCCTCCATACCCAAATCTCTAAAAAAGGGGCTGCAACGGATCTGATAAAAACTGATCCAGATTTGAACACTGTCCTGACGTCAGGACGGTGGCGCTACGGCTATTGGGCCAACTCCACCAATCAGGAGGAGACAGCCACGGCCATTGCCGTTCGAAAGCGCTGGAGACGCTGTAGTACATATGCCAGGCCAGTAGATGGCGCTGTTCTCACAGAATCAACCCTTGCTAAAACAGGGGTAAAAAAGTGCAAATATGTCCAAAACTGTTTGGTATTTTGAAAAAAAAAAGTATAAATATGCCTCATATAGGTATGGTCCTACACTATATTATTAAAATATAGCATGATAGGTCCACTTTAATAAACAAGAGAGGCGAAGTTACGATTCCAATTTTAAGATAACGGAGATCAACGAAGTCATCAAACAACTGTCGAGCAGCAAATAAATGTGGAGTTACTGAGAGTAACGTTAGAAGATGGAGTTACTGAGAGTAACGTTAGAAGATGGAGTTACTGAGAGTAACGTTAGTAGATGGAGTTACTGAGAGTAACGTTAGTAGATGGAGTTACCGAGAGTAACGTTAGAAGATGCATCCGGAAAGGTTGACAGGAGGGTGTTTGAATACGTGATATAATCAGGCCAATACGGTATATGTGTTATTATATGACTCTGACTGAATCTGTGTCTGTACTAATACACCTGTGTTATTATTGCAGCCGTGGTGCAGGGCGACACTCTGGAGGAGATCTACGACCAGGTGAAGCAGATCATCGAGGAGCAGTCGAGCTCCTTCATCTGGGTCCAGTCCAAGGAGAAGTTGTGAGGCTTTTATTTTGAAAGGAAGAGTCCGCCTGCAGACGGCAGCCCCCCAAAACCCCCCCCCCCCGAAGCCACCAGCGTCTCGTTTCATTTTGTCCCCTTTCGTTGGGTTTCCTGTCCACAGAGCAAAGCACACAGGAAGTACGATGACATCACACTCACGGTACAGATCCTTAATGTTTAAGGCCGGAGGAAGAGGAGGAGGAAGAGGAGGAGGAAGAGGAGTTAGTTTTTGTTTGGTGTGTGTTTTCTCAGGCCGACACAAAAAGCAGAACTTTGCACGTTTGAGCTTTAACAGCATGTCCGTTAATAACGCCGTTTATTTCCCATCAGCCCCTTCTGACGTTTTCTTCTCCTGCATTTCAACGCTTTGTTTTTATTTTACACACACACACACACACACACACACACACACACACACACACACACACACACACACACACACACACACACACACACACACACACACACACACACACACACACACTTCTTTATTTTGATTTTGCTGCTGGCTGCTGCAGGATGTGAGGACGCCGTGCAGAGTTCCTGCTCCGCCACCGGGGGGCGCTGTTTCCCTCGTTCAATCTGGAATACCTGAGGAACAATAATCACTTAAAAGTACAAAGATAGAAAGTATTTTTATAATTATCTCAGAATAAAATACATCAAATAAAAACATTTAATTTACACAAATATATTTTATAAATCAAATAAAACTCTATAATTTAACTTATTTTTTCGTGACTCCAAAAAATAATTCACTAAATTTGTTGAAATAAAGAATTACTTGGAAAATCTAAATCACAAGAAAAACTGTCATTATTGTTAAAAATGTAATAAAAACCAAAAATAAATAAATAATCTCATCTCGTTATAATTATTATTAATCATTTTCTAATTAGTATCCGTTGATTTTAGGAAAAATATCTGATAAATATGACGGGAAAAAAATCCTAATTATTAGAAAATATTATCTCATAATTTTGGAAAGTCATCAATAAAATTCCCGAGAAAAATAATCAATATTCACAAAAATATTTGGGAAAAAAAATGTTTAAATTATAAATAAAACGCACAATTTTTCAAATAATTAAAATACAACTTTCTTGTTTCTCATAATAATAAAATAAAGTTTGGAATATTCTCCGTCTGTTCGTAGCGGCGTGCCGGCAGACGGTTGGCGGTGTGACTCTGATTCTTACATTTGGGTTTTTTTTAATGATTGTTTTCGCGGAGCGGCGCCCCCTAGTGGCGCGAGCTGGAACCTCGTCTGCACACGATGTCGACCCCCAGATGATTTTATTGTAAAATGAGATTTTGACAGATATTTAACCCCTCGGTAAACTGCCTATTTTGTTATAATAAAAGTCTATATTGAACTTTACTTAAGCACTACTACTACGGGAATTATTTTCTTTGCATTGTTAATCATATATGAATAGAAAAGTATAAAGATATTTGAATATATATTTTTTTCTGTTTCTTTGATCACCACCTCCTCTGTCTTTTAATTTTCTTTTTTAAGCATAATAAAAACTTAACAAGAAAACTCTGCTTCTTCTTTAAAGGCGTTGAACCTCACACACACACACCTGCAACACACACACACAACACACACACACACACACACACCAGCAAAACACTCACACACACCTGCAACACACACTCACACACACACCTGCAACACACACACACTCACACACACACCTGCAACACACTCACACACACACCTGCAGCACACACACACTCACACACACACCTGCAACACACTCACACACACCTGCAGCACACACAGACAGACAAAAACACACACCAGCAAAACACACACACACACACAGACTCCTGCAACACACACTCAGACACACACACCTGCAGCACACTCACACACACACACTCACAGACACACACACACCTGCAACATACACTCGCACACAGACACTCACACACCTGCAACATACACTCACACACACACACACACACACACACACACTCACAGACACACACACACACTCAAAGGAAGCCAGGTTTCCATCAGGGTCAAACCCTCGCGCTCCAGGAGGCTGTCAGGTGATCATAGCGTCATAATGATTGTACTTTAGTTTAATTCGACCTCGTTCTGGTACACACAAAGCATTTGAATTAAACTTCACTGCAGAACAACTCAGGGACTTAGACCTGGGGGTACGGGACCCCTAGGGGTACTGGAGGGGAGGCAATTTATTTCCACACAAAACACACATGTTTAAATCAATGTTCATAATCCTGGTGTCCCGCCCCCAGACCTACCAAAGCTGATGAAAGACAAGCTCAAGCATGTCATTAAAAGGCGTTGAGCGTTTTATCCCCACTGCCATCAGACTGCTGAACGCCTGAGCTCGCACGATGTGTTATTGTTTTATCATCAGTGTTCTGTTTCCTGTAGTCATTGGGGGTTTCGGGCAACAGACACCCCTTTTCAGCCCGAGCCATCTCGATGCTCTCCGCTGCCTCCACGTTGTTATTCATGGCTTTTCTCCTGCTCACTCCACACATTTAATTTACACACACATATATTTTATGAATCAAATAAAACTCATAAGATAAGCAGAGGCCGTAGGATTCTTGGGAGGATCCCGTGCTGGTAGATCCAGGCCTTGAATCTTCCGGGGAGCCCAGACCTGTCCACGGTTTTCAACCAGCCCTCCATGTGTCCTTCTGACTGCAGCTAAAGACCTTCCCAAGACTCTTCACTAGTTCTGTGACAGAAGGGATCTGGTCTTCTCCTGCCCTGAATCGGTACTTGTCAATGACCTTCCCTCTTTTCAGCACCAAGGACCAGGACTTAGTTGGTTTGAAACTCATGCGTGCCCATGCCACTAGCTTCTCTAACCCCTGCAGGACCCACCGGGCTCCTGGGACTGATGTTGTCACAGAGAGGTCGTCCATGAAGACTCTGATCGGTGGTTACTCCAGACTTCCTTAGAGGGCCCTCTGCTGACTTAACCAGCATATTCATTGCCAGAGCAAACAGGGTCACTGAGATGGTACACCCGGTGATAATACCCACTTCCAGCTGGTGCCAGTCCGATGTCAGTTGGCCAGAAGAGACCCTCTAGCTCAGGAGTGTCAAACTCAAGGCCCGGGGGCCAAATCCGGCCCGCAACTTCATTTTATGTGGCCCCGCAAGAGCTTGCAAAGAATATATACGTTTATTATACGGTTACATGCCACTTTACAGAAGCAGGTTGCCCATAAACTACATGTCCCACAATGCATCTCATTTTGTGACATGCGCATTGAAGAGACTTGCAATTATTTGCCCTGGACTTCTGCTTTCAGACGTAGTTAATTACTAAGTTATTACCCTATCCGATAATAATCCAATGCGGAGGCAATAATGTAATATAATACATTATTTTATGTATATTATATATTTATATGTAGGCTATAGTTATATAGTTACAACCGGCCCTTTGAGTGCAACCATAATGCTGATGTGGCCCGCGATGAAATTGAGTTTGATACCCCTGCTCTAGCTAATAGTCCAGGATGATGTCCTTTACCTTCTGTGGTATGTGGTGTCTCTCCAGTGCAACCTCAACAAGCTTGTGGGGTATTGATCCATATGCGTTGGTAAGGTCGCACCACAGCACAACCCTTTGCCCTCTCTCGCCTCCATGATGAGCTGTGTCACCACTCCTGTGTGCTCCAGTGATCCCTGTTATGCCTCCTTTCTGTACTGATGTGTCAACGGACTTGTTGCTCAGAAAAAAGGTGGCGAGTCTCTTGGACACCAGACTGAAGAAGATCTTGCTCTCCACGCTCCACGCTTCTCAGATATCTCCTCTTTGGGTATATACACCCCTTCAGCGTATCACCACGACTGTGCGATTGTCGCTCTTCTCCAGATCACCTTTAGGGCCATCCAAAGTCGATGGAGTAGCTTCGGGCACTTCTTATACACCTTGTAGGGTGCTCCACCTCGGCCTGGTGCTGAGCTAGATCTCGCCTTCCTCACAACTTCCTCAACTTCTCTCAGGCAGGGCTTTTTCAGATTGAAACCTGCTGTTGGTTCGGTCGGTGTTATCAATGCTCTCCACAGACCCAGTGGCTGATCTCTCCTGGGGTCACTGTGAGTGCACTGGGGGGGTTGTTAATGTCGTCTCTGGAGCAGGTCAACCGGCCACCCCTCTTTTGGCCAAGGAGCTACTTGGTCAACTTGAAGGGGTTTGCCAGGAACGCCTCTCTCCTTCTTGCCCTCTCTCTCCTTCTTGCCCTCTCTCTCCTTCTTGCCCTCTCTCTCCTTCTTGCCCTCTCTCTCCTTCTTGCCCTCTCCTTCTTCTTCTGTGGTTCTCCGCTCTCCGCAGGGTAAGGAGCCTCTTCCTGAGCACTAAACCGGCCCTCTGGACTTCTCCTGCCTCCTCGTACTGCCTCCTGAGCATCTTGAGTTCTTCCCTGAGTTGCTGGATTTGCCTTGCTCGGTTGTTCGGAGCATACGCCGGTGGTGCGGGCTTGACTTCCTGTACTCCAAATCGCTCAGCTGCGATGTTTACGATGATGGTAGCCATCGTTTTCAGCCGTCAGTCCACATCCCCCTCGGCAGTCCCTTCCAGGATGCAATCTACGTCTTCATCCAACTGCTGCCGCTCTGCTCTGCTCGTGGGTTTGGGCCCGAGGAGCGCAGGCTGCTGCTGTTACTGGCTCTGGGTGGTCTGCGGATTGCAACGACACGGTAGCTGTGCAATGGAAAACACAACTCAAGCTAGAAGTCAGAATCAGTTTTATTACCAAGTAGGTTTACACATACGAGGAATTAGCTGTGGTTTCTGTGGTGCATACAGAGACACAGAAAGAAGAATACGTAGCAAAACAAATAAAAATAGGACTGTTATAACAAATGAACCGTTTATGAAAACACTTTAGACTGTATTTAAAGTGGAGAGCTGTGCTGATTTAAACAAGGTAGTGTGAGAGTTGCAACATGTGCTGGATTTACACTTTGATTTTGTTCGCATGAAGAGACCAATTGTTATAAAGAGCACTTGACCTCGTGTCTCCCATCACCTAAAACCCCTGACTATACTCTCAACTCCGGGTTTACATTCTTTAATCACGTAATGTACGGTGATGCAAAGCGACACCATATTTGTAGTTTCTTTTTGCTATACATAGTATTTATACATTTCCCGGAACAAATCTTCATCTCCAGAACGGTTGGGAACGACTGCCTCAGAGGTTCCCCTCCTCAAAGCTGAGTGAGCGATCTGTTGTCAAGGCGTTAAACACTCAACAAAGTTCAGCTCCTCTTCCAAGAATGTACAGTCTGCACATCATATAACACACCTGACCTTTGACCCTTGCAGCGCACACGGAAATAAGATAAGATCATGTCCATAAGACACGCCACAATAATGTAATACATGCAATAAACCCAGGGAATGCCACAGACTAAACACAGACCCTGGATCAAATGACTACTTCCCAACGCTGTCCTTCATTCATGACGGATTTCTAAATATGAAGCAGATGTTTTTGTTGTTTTTTTACAAGTCCAACAACTCTTCTGCGGCTGGTCAGCTGACGGTCAAAGGTCCACTTCTCTAATCGTGTGTTGTAAAGTTCAGATAACACACCCTGCCTCTCGTAAAGCTCAGCTGATCCTCAGAGCTCACACTGATCTGTTCAGAGAAAAGGAAACGTCTGACTAACGCTCGGAGGAGAAATGGCTCAGAAAGGAGTTCAGCTGGACCGGGAAATCTTCTGTTGTCCCATCTGTCTGGATCTACTGAAGCACCCGGTGACTATCCCCTGTGGACACAGCTACTGCATGGACTGTATTAAACACCACTGGGATAGAGAGCTAATCCACGGCTGCCCTCAGTGTAGAAAGAGCTTCACACCGAGGCCTGTCCTGCTGAAAAACACCATGTTAGCAGCTTTAGTGGAGGAGCTGAAGAAGACTGGACTCCAAGAAGCTCCTGCTGATCACTGCTATGCTGGAGCTGAAGATGTGTCCTGTGATGTCTGCACTGGGAGGAAACTGAGAGCCTTCAGGTCCTGTCTGCAGTGTGTGGCCTCTTACTGTGAGACACACCTCCAGCCTCACTTTGAATCAGCTGCATTACAGAAACACAAGCTGGTGGAGCCCTCCAAGAAGCTCAGAGAGAACGTGTGCTCTCGTCACGACGAGGTGATGAAGATGTTCTGCCGCACTGATCAGCAGTCCATCTGTTACCTCTGCTCTTTGGACGAACACAAAGGCCACGACACAGTGTCAGCTGCAGCAGAGAGGACTGAGAGGGAGAGAGAGCTGGAGGGGAGTCGACTCAACATCCAGCAGAGAATCCAGGACAGAGAGAAGGAGGTGAAGCTGCTTCAGCAGGAGGTGGAGGCCGTCAATGGCTCTGCTGATAAAGCAGTGGAGGACACTGAGAAGATGTTCACTGAGCTGATCCGTCTCATGGAGAAGAGAAGCTCTGATGTGAAGCAGCAGGTCAGATCCCAGCAGAAGAGAGAAGTGAGTCGAGTCAAAGAGCTTCAGGAGAAGCTGGAGCAGGAGATCTCTGAGCTGAAGAGGAGAGACGCTGAGCTGAAGCTGCTCTCTCACACAGAGGATCACAACCAGTTTCTGCACAGCTACCCCTCACTGCCAGCCCTCAGTGAAGCTACACACTCCTCCAGCATCAACATCCGTCCTCTGAGACACTTCGAGGACGTGACAGCAGCCGTGTCAGATCTAAGAGATAAACTACAGGACGTCCTGGGGGACAACTGGACCAACATCTCACTGAATGTGAGTCAAGTGGGTGTTTTACGGCCACCACCAAAGCCCAGGACCAGACGTAGATTCTTAAAATATTCAAGGGAAAACTGTCTGGATCCAAACACAGCAAACACACAGCTGTTGTTATCTGAGGGGAACAGAAAAGTTACATTAACGAAAGAAACACAGCCCTATCCCAGTCACCCAGACAGATCCACTGCATGGCCTCAGGTCCTGAGCAGAGAGAGTCTGACTGGTCGTGACAGGGCCGCCCCTCCCACGCAGATCACGCAGACTGCGTGGGGCTTCACCTCGCGGAGGGGGCCTCATGTTGCGGAGAGAGCCTCAACTGAGGACACCTTGAGCTCATTCGGCGCATTTAGGGTGAATCAGGCTCGCCGCTGCAAGGCTCCACTAGCACAAAAATGTGTCCCCGGTGTGTCAGGAGACTCACACAGTGCTGGAAATACAAACCTCTCTCTTTTCCTCCATACCCACTACCCACATCTCTGGAAAGGGGAAACAACGGGGGGGAGGGGGGGGCGCTCGTGAACTGTCAACGGAGTGGTGAAGAGCTCGACGCTCGTGAAATGTCAACAGGAGGACGGGGGGAGCCTCGCAGTGTATGGACCTCTTTCACCTGTCAGTGCAACTTACATGATGCCGTTTAAACAAATTTAAATAATTGGTTTAAACGGCATCACAATAATGACGATCGTCCGTTCTGTGATCCTCCAGAACACACATGGCCAGTCCGCCCCTGTGTAGCATATTATTTTCGATGAGAGATGAGCAGATCGCCACTGGGCTTTCAACTGAAGACACAACCACATAATAACTGCGGCATCTGTACAGCTCCTTATGGGTAGCCTACTGCGATTTGTGAATTGTGGGCGCGCTCCGGCAGCACCCTGATCGTTTCACCACGGAGGAAAGCAGCAGAAAGTCGCCTGGAGTTAAAGAGAGCAGGGCTGCGTTGCGTGCATGGCTTCCTTCTGCAGGTAACGGGGAGACGCGCTCTGTCTCGTTCAGGATCCGAAAATAAATGTTTTATATTTTGCACACTTATTCCCAGTGTGCCAGTGGTTACGGTGTCGGGAACCCCTGGCAGGCACGTGTGCCAGGGGTTGCCGACACCTGCGCTAGAATGATCTGTTTGGTATTTTGAGCAAAACACTTCATAGACATGTTTCTATATCTGAGAACTATAATATATGCCTACAAATAGAATAATAGAAGACTTTTAATCATGAACGCAATAACCTGCATGGAGTTTGTGTTAATGAGATATTTGGGTGGATTTCTGCTGATTATTTCCTGTGCATATTGAATGACTTGATTTCCAAATATTGTATGTAACTTCTAGCACCTAATTGTTCTGTATATTCTTTAATTCTTAACATTCACAAATACAGTGCCTTTATTCTGTTGGAGTTTATGCAAATATGTATATCTCAAATAGTGTAATTTTATTCAAATTAACATTATGAGATGGAGTGGAGAGGAGGACTTTATTAGTCAATTATAAAAAAATATATATATGTGTGTTGGAAAATATGAAATAGTGTGTTTCAAAATGTTAGGCTGTGTTTCCCTCTGTGATCCTGATGGTGGTGATGGTGGTGATGGTGGTGATGGTGGTGATGGTGTGTGTTCTTGTATTAAACTCTATGGATCTGATCTTTTAAAGGTGTCTTGCTCTGATGTGTTTGGGACTGTGCTGGATAAAGTCTTTCATAAATATAACAAGTCATCGTATAGTATGTAGAAAATGTCATGAAATCACTGATGGTATAGTATGTCGAAAAATATGGAAAAATATATAGTATATCATGTTGAAATATTAAAAATGTAAAAGTATAGTATCAATAAAAAAGTTGTCAGAAAATATCTTTTAATTCATAGTTAAAATTTGTTGAAAAAACCTTTATTAAAAAGAGTTATGGTATAGTTTGTCAAAAAAGCCAAAGTATCACTTGCCGAAAAATGTGTTAAAAGTTGTAGAATAGTATATTAAAACACTCATGGTATAGTGTGACAGAAATATGGAAAAAGTCATAGTATGGTACGTTGAAAATATCATTAAAAAGGTAAATGTATGTTAAGTTTAAAATATGAAAGAAGTGGTAGTATAGTGTATTTAAAATGTCATGAGAAAAGTGAACGATCTGTTTGGTGTTTGAGCCACTTCAGTATCTCAGACCTGTGATATAGAGTTGATGAAGAGGAGAATGACCTTTAATTGACTGACAGATTTAATTGCATATTTGCTGTTAACACACTCATGGTTTAGCTACTGGGATATAGTGTTTATCAGTGGCGAGCCGTGAGCTTTATACCTAGGCCCTCTGACCCCCACCAATTCCCTCGAAAAAAAGGAAAAAAAAGAGTTATTACGTCACAGCGTATACTTCAGCGGAATATCAAAACAACGGCCCAGGGTGCAAAACGCATCAATGACAGCGACCCTCTACCACACAAAACAACACCTGTGAACCCCATTTGTGTTCTTTGACATTGAAAATGATATTGCATTGTGTTTGTTACTTTCGTTGCAGTTGTATGTCTTAAGTGTAATTTGGCATGCTTTTATTTTGAAGGCGAGTTCACGCTGTTGACAGGAAGTTGTTATTGCTATGGAAACAAGAAAAGTTTCACAGCGGGCGGAACTTGTCATAAAGTCCGCGATAATAAAACCCACCCATTTAGAGGGAAGATATGATTGGTCAATTGTACTGTCATTTGACATTACTCTCTCGTTCAGTTACTATAGCGGGCCCTCTGTGAATCGCAGAGAGGGCCAGACGAGCTTCTTTCATGTAACCCTTCACGTTCAACAGAGACTGAACAGGCAGATTCGAAGGATTTTTTTCTTTGGAAATGTTATTTTAAATACAATTAAATCAAGTTTTTTTTCGGTAAAACTAATGAACAATATAACAAAAATAATATTAAAAAAATATATATTTAAAAAAAAATATATTTTTTTTTAAATGTTTTTAAATATTATTTTTTAGAATATCTTAGATATCAGAGGGCCCTGACGGCTCGCCACTGTTTAATCTATACCCAAATCATCTTATTTTAAAAGTCTTTCCTAAGTATTGTGTGTAAAGTACATTTTGTATCTTTTGTTAAAATATTGGTTGTAAAATCAATTAATTACACATCAGTAATTAAGAAAGCTGCGCCACAAAGACACATTTATTACATATTGAATATTGGTGAGTTAGCGCGGAGGTCTTCAACGTTAACACATCTAAAGACGCTCCTATATGATATTTATGTAATGTTTAATATTTCCCGTGGACAGACATGAGAACACACACTCACACTTTCAGGCTTTTATTGTGAAGGAGTGACAGCAGGCAGGGTGTGATCCTACAGGAGTCGGTTCAGTAGCAACAAGGAGACAAGTGGAGGAATAAATTAAAACCCAAAACTCCTCGGGTAATAAAAAAAAAAAAAAAAACTCCACAAAATCAAAAACCAGAAAATATTCAAATAAAAACTAATTTAAAAAAGTCAGTTACAAAACTGGAGTGCGTTTATAGATTTTGGTTTTGTTCCTTCCTCTCTGTGCTTCTGACACACACACACACACACACACACACACACACACACACACACACACACACACACACACACACACACACACACACACACCACACACACACACACACACACACACACACACACACACACACACACACACACACACACACACACACACACACACACACCCACACACACACCCTTCAGTATTTACACACATATTTATAGATTCCGTCTCTACTCTTGTTTTAAGAGTCTAAGCCCCGCCTCTTGCCGCCCGCCCGCCCTCTCGGCCAATCAGCAGCTGCTGTTCTTGAACTCGCCGGTCTCAGTGATTGACAGCTTGGTGGGGTTGCTAGGCGACAGGCCGTTGTGGATGCTAGGTGTGTTGTAGCGCTCCTTCACCTGCGTCAGCGCCGCCATCAGACGGGAGTTCGCCGCGTCCAGGGAGTCGATCCGCCGCTCCTGATTGGACAGAGATGGAAAAAAAAAAGGGGGGGGCGGGACAATAAGTTAGATTGACAGCTGTGTGATCCAGTGACTGTCGGGGCGAAAACACATCGCAGCACAAAGTGAGACATTTAAAGTTTAATTCAAAGAGTTTAAATTCCTCTGAGGTCTGAAAAAAGACGAATTTGATTATTAAAAAATATATATAACAATAATACAAATTAAACACATTTCTTTTTTATCTAGACACCTTTAACTTTTGTTTTAAATTAGGTTCAGTTTGACGGAGAGGAAGGTTGAGATGTGTTTCCGAGGCCAACATAATCAGAGAGTGGCAGCAGGAAATAAACAACAACAACAACAGCCCAAAAAACTCAAAGAGAAAAAGTGAGAGTTAGGCTCAGAAAGTGAAAGGGCATCTCTGCGTCCACACGACCTCCTGGTTACAGAATCCATTAATATGAGTGGTGAGGGGGAGGGGCTTCAGCCAAACAGAAATCAACAAATCAGAGCGCCGAGCACCAGAAACAGTCAATGTGAGAGTTTAACCTGGAGCTGCTTCAAAGACCTATTTCAGCATTATGAGTCCTGAAACCCTGACATGACATCACTTCCTGTCCCCTGGTCTGGAGGTCAATGGTTGTCTGAATGTGTTTTTGGTTGTTAGCTTGATATAAGGTCTGTGGTTAACACAAGGTGAAGAGATGTTTGTTCTACGACATCAAATACGTCAGTAAATACCCCACTGGTGGATTTAACAGGTTGCTAACAAGTGTCTAAATGAGACGACTAAATGTCATCAAGCCCAACATTAGCCGCCTTTAGCTTAGCCGTGGTGACGTGAAGTCATGTGATCGTGCTGTAGTTCCTTTATAGCCCAACATTAGCCACCTTTAGCTTAGCGGTGGTGACGTGAAGTCATGTGATCGTGCTGTAGTTCCTTTATAGCCCAACATTAGCCACCTTTAGCTTAGCGGTGGTGACGTGAAGTCATGTGATCGTGCTGTAGTTCCTTTATAGCCCAACATTAGCCGCCTTTAGCTTAGCGGTGGTGACGTGAAGTCATGTGACCTTGCTGTAGTTCCTTTATAGCCCAACATTAGCCACCTTTAGCTTAGCGGTGGTGACGTGAAGTCATGTGACCTTGCTGTAGTTCCTTTATAGCCCAACATTAGCCGCCTTTAGCTTAGCGGTGGTGACGTGAAGTTATGTGACCTTGCTGTAGTTCCTTTATAGCCCAACATTAGCCACCTTTAGCTTAGCGGTGGTGACGTGAAGTCATGTGACCTTGCTGTAGTTCCTTTATAGCCCAACATTAGCCACCTTTAGCTTAGCGGTGGTGACGTGAAGTCATGTGACCGTGCTGTAGTTCCTTTATAGCCCAACATTAGCCTCCTTTAGCTTAGCGGTGGTGACATGAAGTCATGTGACCGTGCTGTAGTTCCTTTATAGCGCAACATTAGCCTCCTTTAGCTTAGCGGTGGTGACGTGAAGTCATGTGACCGTGCTGTACTTCCTTTATAGCCCAACATTAGCCTCCTTTAGCTTAGCGGTGGTGACGTGAAGTCATGTGACCGTGCTGTAGTTCCTATATAGCCCAACATTAGCCGCCTTTAGCTTAGCGGTGGTGACGTGAAGTCATGTGACCGTGCTGTAGTTCCTATATAGCCCAACATTAGCCGCCTTTAGCTTAGCGGTGGTGACGTGAAGTCATGTGACCGTGCTGTAGTTCCTTTATAGCCCAACATTAGCCTCCTTTAGCTTAGCGGTGGTGACGTGAAGTCATGTGACCGTGCTGTAGTTCCTTTATAGCCCAACATTAGCCTCCTTTAGCTTAGCAGTGGTCACGTGAAGTCATGTGACCGTGCTGTAGTTCCTTTATAGCCCAACATTAGCCACCTTTAGCTTAGCGGTGGTGACGTGAAGTCATGTGACCGTGCTGTAGTTCCTTTATAGGTTCAAGGTTCAAGGTTCTTTATTGTCAATCTGACATAGCTACAGAGTAATTATGCAGTTGAAAATCTTATGTCACAGGCTTCTCCAACAATGCAACATAATAACATAACATAATAACAATAAGAGCAAGAGCAATACAAAAATAATAATAGTTATAAAAATGAAATAAAGTTATGATGTGGAATAGTGCAGTATGAGTCTATATACAAGTTATTGGAATGATATATATATATTAGGTATTAGATACATACTACTGAGTAGCAGTTGAATGTTTGAAGTTGTTTCAACAGTTCAATTTTTTAACAGTCTCACTGCCCGCGGGAAGAAACTGTCTCCGAATCTTCTTGTCCTTGCCCGGATGCTGCGGTAACGTCTGCCAGACGGCAACAGAAAGAACAGTTTGTGGCTGGGGTGATGGGGGTCTTTGATAATCCGTAGTGATTTCTTCCTGAGCCGCTGGGAGTAAAGGTCCTCCATGGATGGCAGCTCCGTCCTGGTGATGTGCTGTGCAGTTTTCACCACCCTCTGTAAAGCCTTACGATCGAGGTCGGTGCAGCTGCCGTACCAGGCCGTCATGCTGCCAGTGAGGATACTCTCTATCGTGCACCTGTAGAAGTTGCAGAGTATCCTGGAATCCATTTTGAACCTCCTCAGCCTGCGGAGGAAGAAGAGCCGCTGTCGAGCTTTCTTGGTGATGGTGGTGGTGTGAAGAGACCATGTCAGGTCCTCAGTGATGTGGACCCCAAGGAACCTGAAGCTTTTGACTCTCTCCACCGTAGTCCCATTGATGGCGATGGGGGCGTGTCCCTCTCCCTGCTGCTTCCTGTAGTCCACAATCAGCTCCTTTGTTTTGCTGATGTTGAGATGGAGGTTGTTCTCCTGGCACCAAGATGTCAGGTTTTCGACCTCCTCTCTGTACGCCGTCTCGTCATCGTCTGTGATCTGGCCGATGACGGTCGTGTCATCAGCAAACTTCACGATGGTGTTGGAGCTGTGTGTGGCCACGCAGTCGTGGGTGAACAGGGAGTAGAGGAGAGGGCTGAGCACGCAGCCTTGAGGGGCACCGGTGTTTAGAATCAGGGTGGAGGATGTGATGTGATGTGATGTTTCCCACCCGCACTGCATGTTATAGCCCAACATTAGCCTCCTTTAGCTTAGCGGTGGTGACGTGAAGTCATGTGACCGTGCTGTAGTTCCTTTATAGCCCAACATTAGCCGCCTTTAGCTTAGCGGTGGTGAGGTGAAGTCATGTGACCGTGCTGTAGTTCCTATATAGCCCAACATTAGCCGCCTTTAGCTTAGCGGTGGTGACGTGAAGTCATGTGACCGTGCTGTAGTTCCTTTATAGCCCAACATTAGCCTCCTTTAGCTTAGCGGTGGTGACGTGAAGTCATGTGACCGTGCTGTAGTTCCTTTATAGCCCAACATTAGCCTCCTTTAGCTTAGCGGTGGTGACGTGACGTTCTAAAATGTGTTTTATTCACCTGTTGTTTTACACTGCTTAAAGTTTATCTGATATGATGCTAGGTAATAAAGGTATCTGCTCTGTGATTGGCTGCTCAGGTGAGGGCGCTCTGAAAACAGCGTGAGGGGGTGGGGAGGGGGGGGGGGGGGGGGGGGCGGGGGCCGGGCTTCAGTCACTACTTGCCTGATTGGTTAATCTCACATCCATTACTGACCTGGAATCAGTGAAGAGACGATGAGAGAACAAGAACTAAAAACTATTTCCTGTACAGTTTCAGATCATATTAAGAACACGGTTTCATGTCTCAGAGGATATGTCCTGTACCTGGGCGTCGATGATTTTCTGTTTTGCTTCGATCACCGCCTGCATCTCTGCATGGTCCCGCTTCAACTCCTCCTCCACCGCCATCAGTCTGAAAAAAATAATATTTAGGAAACAAATATTCCCACACGGTCTTCACAACGTTTCAGAACATTTTATAATAAATACAAAAACATTTTAGAACTTGTTTTAATGTCCTTTAATGGATATTTCATTACGACAGAATGTCCTGAAAATGTTCCTCAAGGTTTTGGAAAATAAAGTTCCCAAATGTTCCAAAAAATAGAATCAAAATGTTCCTAAAATGTTCTTAACGAATTCTAATAAATGTCAAAAGTTCCCTAAATGTTTTGTTCTAAAATAATTCCTCAAAAGCTCCATAAATGTTATGAAGACTCATTCAAAAAAGTTGTCTTCAAAGTATCCCTAACATTTTCCATCAAGTGCCCCAAGTGTAATTAAAACCTTCTCAAATGTTCCCAAAGATACCATCCAATCGTTCTTACATCTTTAGTTTTGTTCTAATGGTAAAATGAGATCCAGAAATTCAAAAATAAATAAATATGAATAATAAAAAAAGTTGAGCCTTGTATATATATCTGATCAAACTATAATAACAAATAAATAAAAGTTAATATTTTATCCGATCAGGCGTAGGATTCACGTGGGAAGGTTGCTTACGTAGTACAAAGCAAAAAAATAGGTACAGAAATGTTCCGACATTTTCCGATTCACAAAACATTGCGTACCGGTGAGGGAAGTGCGTACGGCACTCCCTACGCCTGTTTCCCTTTATAAATCACAATCGACTCGTAACGCCCATATTTGCCTATAAATAGTCAAAGAAACGCCCATCCATTCATTCATCCATCCATCCATCCATCCATCCATTCATCCATCCATCCATCCATCCATCCATCCATCCATCCATCCATCCATCCATCCATCCATCCATCCATCCATCCA